TTAACATTGACATGCTGATTGGTCACAACAACTTCAATTTAATCTGTAGTGCTGTCTGTAAGTCTTTACCAAGTGCTCTCTATAAGTACAATTTTTCTTAAAATACTTTATTATAGCTATGTAAAGATATATTTTTCTTTTGGTATGACCATCCGGTATCCAGAAACCCATTGGGTCACTGACTAATTCGAATTCGAGCTGAACAGGACTCAATGAGTGACAAAACTCTCTCTCATGAGTTTAATGGAGTTACATTCCTAGAACTTGAATTCAAGACCTTTGGTTAAACTGGAAAAGTCCCAACCAACTCATCCACTTGCTCATAGGTGCTATGTAAAGATATTTGATTATATAATTAAATGCATATCATGCCACGTACTATACCAAATATTGTAAATGAAATTAATTAGTAGATACCTGCCATTTTTGTACCAGTTCATACATAATGCTTACCCTTACAAATTAAAACTTTAAAAATTGAAGTATGATATGGTCACACACTCTTTTAATAGGGTCACACAAATGTTGCTTTTAAAAAAATATAAAAAAAAAGTTTACCATGCAAAACTAAACTTTAATATATATTTTTTGTTTTAATTATACAAAGAGAGATAATCATATTTTATTTTTTATCTTATATTATATATTATTTATATGTTATGTGATTTGAAGTCAAATTTTATTATTAAAAAATTATTATTAAATTATTTAAATAATTAACTAAAACTTTAATATTAAAACACAATTTACAAGCAAACAAAACAAAACAATAGACATACTAGACACAAAACAAACAACTAAAACAGAGCCAAGATGGGAAGGCTGCTAGAGCTTGCTGATAAGGAGGGAACTTTGAGGGAGGGAGAATTCCATTTGAAAACAGGTACAACATTATCTGTTGGCATTTATACCAGGATTGTCAACTCCGTTTGGTACCGACGGTGGTTGGCATGTACACTTCTGTGCTTAGTCCGAAAACATTATAAAATTTATTTATTTATTTATTTTAATAACATAACGAAACACAACTACCCCTTCTCTTTTGATTAATTTCATTTGCATGTCATATAATTTAAATTTAATATTTTTTATTTTTAACAAAAAAAAAATCACTGAATTATTTAATTTGTTGATTATATAATTTTATTTTATTTTTATCAAATACAAAGTACTCCGATTCAATTTTAATGTGCTGGTCAAAATTATGCATACAGGCCGGTAAGCCTAGATGTTGCCGGCACAATGTTTACAACTTCATCGTCTTGCCCAGCACCTACCAATCGGGAAAAGACCACCGACTTTTTACTTGGTTTGCTTGTATTTCGCAAATTCAGTTCAAATCATCAGCTTCCCTACATCTTTGCCTCCGCATTCTTGCTCCCCACGACATATTCTCTCTCGAATCCTTATTCATATTCCTCCTTTCCAGCTCTGCGAGCTGACCCTGCCATCGATTTCTGCACTCATTTTTCTCCCTCATATTCTGTTTGATAAAATCCCCAAATCAGCACAATGGCAAATTAATTACAACTCATTTGTAAACATCTAAAGTAAACGAAAACAAGAGAATTAATTACCTGACTATATTGAGACCGACCCCTGGCAGAGAAAGCCCTGTGCAATCCCCTAACCAGATCCCCATCGTACAGAGCTCTGCTTTTGGGGTCGGACAACGTCTCATAAGCTTCCTGAACCTGAATAAACATCTTTGTATTCTCCGCAATCCGTTCTGGCGGTGATACATCGGGATGGTATCTCCGGGCAAGTCTCTTGTATGCTTGCTTTATCTCCAATATCGTACCGATCTCTGATATGCCCAACAAGTCGTAGAAACTCTCCGTCGTCGCGTGCAGACTGCAAGAAACAACCTTTGGTGTCCCCCTAGAAGACCCATATCGTGATTCAACGGAAAAGTTTGACATCGGAAGATGGGTATGCCGGAAACTAAGGTGAGAAGCGGGCTCAAGCTTGGTAATGGAGGCCAGCATGTTAGGCTTTGTGCAGTAATTACAGGACCCAGTTTGGCTTCCTGTTCCTGAAAGCATAATTCCATGGCTCATTCTGATTTCTGTGTTATGTCTGTGATCCTGTTTTTGAAGGAGTCCTAGGTCTTATAATGGGGGACTTGAGAGACAGCTGGTGAAGGGCTATTGATTGTCAAAAATTGTGATTGGCAAAGATTTCGTTTTCTATTGGATTCGGCAGCTGTCATGATTGATCTT